GATTGCTGTTGGTGGGGTGGGGTGGGGCATGTATGGGTTGGAGACGGGGTATTGATTTTATTGCTGTATATGGGGATTTTAATTTTTTTTGTAAAAAGCCCAAAGTCACTACAAGTGAGTGGGCAGCCATATAAAGTTCCCAAATAAATAAATAATGGGCAGGTGTAATTAGCTAGTTAGATTTAAACAGTTTTCTAGATTTTGCAAGACATTGCAAAAACATTTTCCAAATTAAGCTTTCACTGATACATTTTGCTTTGGATTTGTGGTAGCGGTAGTGGCATTATTTCATTTTTATTGTTGGTAATGCCTAGTTCCACCCAAGTGGACCAAAACAATTTTCAATGTAATTATGTATGCATAGCAGAGTATAATAGCCAGTCATCTCAGTCTAGAGAGCTATGGGAGCACCAACTAGCCATATGCACAACCTGTGCCTTTGCAAATAGTTCCAGGGCAAGGTCACAAGTTGTGCATAAAAACTCAGTAGGAATGCAAAAACGGGAGGTTCGTTATTGTGAAGTTATACAAATAATCCTGCACACATCCATGAAACTGGATTTTTTTTTAAAAACCTGCACATTGACTTTAGTGTAACCATTATTATTTTTTTAAATTTTTTCTTTTTCTTTCAATATTTAATTTCACTGGCAGTTTATCTTGAAAAACAACCTGTTGTCTCAACTCAAGAAATGCAAGCTGGGAACTTTCCATTATTTCACTGTTTTATGGCTTGATTAAGCTACAAGCTGTCTCTGCAATGAATTATAGGTAGTTCTCAACTTACAACCGTTAGGAAGCCTGCCCATTATTGTCGTAAGTGTTGACAACGGTAAAGCAGGTCATCCACGAGGCGAGTCAGATTTATAATATTTTCTGCCACCATTACTAAGTAAACACATCCACCAAAAGCAAAAGACCATGATTGTTAACCAAACCTATTGTTCAATGTGGAGAGTTTTTGCTGGAAAGTGGAAGTAAATGGCTACTTTCAGCAAAAAAAACACCCATTGCAAATTGCCTTTATGTGATTGTGGATGCTGCAAAAGCCTCAAATGGAGGCACCTGAAATGCAGTAATATGACAATGGAGGGGGAGCAGCCATCTGAATTTCAGAACTGATCATATAAGCTTTTTTTGTGTGTGGGGGGTGCCTGTTGTAACTTTGAACAATCACTAAGTAACCAGTTGTAAATTAAAGACTACCTGCATATTGAACTAATCTACTTGCAGGCCAAATGAGTTCAATTTCCTTGATAGAGGTTCTAAGAATAGAACAGAATAACACCTGGCTATCTTATCTACTTCTGACATATCCCAAACAAGTTGAAACTCTGGTTATAGTGACTCCTGCTGGTCAACGACACTGAACTTGTGTGAATCACACATATGCACGAATAATTTGGGAGATGAATATTAAGAGGTTGGAAAACTCAGGGAACAAGAATGACTTGGATGCCTGGAAAGATCTCTACGGCTAGTAGAGTAACGTCACAGAAACTTCATTTGAAAGCCTCCTAAATTAATTCTGCCCCACATATAATTCAGGTGGAGACCCTAAAGTTCTCCTCCGTGTCCTTCTCATATTTTTCTCATTCCCAGGTTCAAGGATATCTTTTGGAAAGGTCTTGCTTCCTCTCTTTAAATGTCTTTGCTGTGTTCCCAAGGTCCGTTTGGCATTTTGTCCCACCGTTACAAGTGTTGGCAGCCATTCGCTAAATAAATACGTAATACATATTAGCAGAGAACTCTGAGGGCTGTACTGAAGACTTTCAAACAGGCTGTCTCCAATTATATTAATGGACTATTACAGCCAGATGTCTTAAGGGCTTCTAAGTGGACACTTAAGAACCCACCCCACCCCCGCTCTCCCAAAGCATTCATTAAACAATTGTGTGGATTGTTAAGTGAGATATCTCAGGCATGGGGAGACATTCCCAAGCCCTCCCTCCCCCACCATCTCTGACATACCCCATGCTCTGTTTCTTACTCCCTTCGGGTCCCCACAGCCATTTCTTTATTGCTAGCCATAGCTCTGCCTGCAGACCAAAGGTTAGCTTTAGCCAGTAAAAATAAATTCTCATGGCTTCCTTCCTCTGGCTAAAGCTAGCTCTATGAGGCTAAGAACTTTGCCAAGATCGTTTTTTCACCCAGAAAAAGATGGGATTGTGCCCTGCTCACTCCTTGTTCTCTATCCCAAACAGGAGTGGTCAGTGATGGGGGAGGGGGACATGGGTGGAACACAGTGGGGTAGCAAAACAGTTCCTGTGCTTGTGGGGGGGGGCGTGATGGGGCAGGAAGGGAGGGAGGAGTAGGCAGGGTGGGAGGTGCTGTTGGGTGTCTGCCGTAAGGTCGTAAAAGGCCACAGGAGCACTGCAGCAGAGGTTAACTTTAGAACTGAGTCATAAATACCTTTTGGGGTTCTGTTGTTAATTTAGTACGGTTCTAAGTAACCAGTTGTTAGTTAAAAACTGCCTGCAATCTGAAAATAGAAAAGATGCAAATGGAGGTTCCTATATGCATATATATTATTATTCCTATTGTGGAAAGGGAACTTCATGAGGACAGTGGTGACACCCGAGCAGGAAAAGCCCAAAGGGAACATCAGGCCAGCCATAAAACAAACTTGCATAGGAAAAGAGATTTAATAAAAGGTATTGAAAGAAGCCCCCTAGACAAAAGCCAAGTAATTAAGAAAACTAAGGAAACAAGAAAAGAAAACCCTTACAAACACAAGACATGCCAAATCAGCTAAACAAACAGACAAAAGACACGAAATAAATTCCATAGCAGACAGGAAATTGCCACAAAACAAATATAAGAAAACATTAGGAAACTGATAATCCAATCAAACTACCCTGCAAAGTTTGCCTTCTGTACCCCACGGAGTTTACCCTCCGGCGGAAATGAAGACAACCCCTGACAGGATTTAAAACATTAAGAAATACAAACACAAGCACTCACACACAAAAGGAGAAAAAAGGTATAAAAATCAGGGTTTTTATTATACAAAGAGAGCTAGCTCCAGGAACGCAGACTTCTTGCTATCTCTCGCCTTCCTGAAAAATAAAAAGAACCGGCTTCCAAGTAGTTGTCTGAATCCTTGCACTGGAGTACTCCCAGCAGGAAAACCGAACCCTCAGAAGAAAGGCATTTTCCAGCCTTTCAACACTACGATATATGCAAACTACAGTACAAGTAGCCTCAACTTAGGACCAGAATTGGGATTCCTGACCATAGATTGTTATGATTAGAAATTGGGGCACCCATGTAGTTAAACTCAATTTTACATTTTTGGCGGCCGTTAAGCAATTTTTAAGGGCAAAGGTATTGTTTTAAATACATGTTTTGGTCAGAAACTAACAAAAAAAAAGCCACAAATCATGGTTATGTGGCTTCAGGATGCTACAACTGATCATAAAGGTGAACCATGTTGTCCCCAATTCGGGTCTGAGCCTGGTGCCGAAGCCAATGATGGATGCCAGACCCGAGGTGCAGGTTTTCTGATTGCTTTTTATTGGAGTACTCCAAGGAAAAGGGCTCCTGGCCAAAATGCCAAGAAAACAAAGAACAAAGGATTAAGTAAGTTTTGTACACTGAAGGAGAAGGTGGGACAAAGCGAGATAATAAGAAATATCATCTAATACACATTTGATTTGCTGCAGGCCATCTCTATTTCTAACTTTTAGCTGAGGTCTGCAAGTTGCATAACTCTAGTTACTTTTATCAGCTTTCTAACTACCCAGAATTATTACAAGATTTACACATGCATATTTCCCATGGATAAGCATTCTTTGTTCTTGCCAGACAGACTCCACAGTTGTAGTCTTCCAGTTTTACTTTCAAGTGTGTGCCATACAACCCATCAATGTCTTTCTGTGTGAGTATGTGTGTTAAGCATCCATTCTGGGGCCCTTCACAATTTCAAAGCACCCATTAAATGACTGTTAAATCGAGTATTGGAATTCAACATTTTCCTGGCAAAGGGAGCTTGTATTCGTTTTAGATTACTTGGAACCAGAAAACCAAGTAGGAGCAGGTTTTGGGATGCAGAAAAATGCAGAGCTTGCTCGCAACGATCATTTCCTTTTCTTTAAAAAAAAAAAAGATTTTTATTTTTTAAGACAAACATGTACAAACATAAAAAACATAAACCCATCTTCCATTTTATATACATACAGTGTGTCAGTTGGTTACCAATCTTTTGTTCTATCCTTTCGTAGTCATACACAACGATCCTTTTCAACGACTTCTTTAAAATATTAATTATACCATTCAGGAAGAATGCATAAAGGTTTTCTTCTCACTCCATGCCTTTAAATAGGCCTCGAGTTAGATAATAGTTCTCCAGGAAGGACAAAGGTAGATAGATGGATAGATAGAACAAGTTAATTTTGTCTTAACCTAATTTTAACCTAATTTTGTCACCTGGAATGCACACTAATCGGCACGCCTTGATGAAATTTCATTGCATGCAGACCCCCATTATGTCTTCACTGCTTTCATGTTTCATTTTGGGTTTTTTACAACTTCTAATTCATACCTATTATTTAAGACCGCGAAAACCTATCCAACAACTCCCCGCCGGCGGGAGAAAGACGGTGGGTGGGGCTATACAGGCGGGGGAGTTTAAAAGTGGGCGGAGCCTGCAACTTGGCATTTCTGCCGCTTGTTTTGTGAGTAGGCGGAGATTGGGGTGAGCCCATATGTCGATCGAAGGGGAGAACGGATGTCTCTCGATTGACGAACCGAACTTTGCCTTTAGCGGATCCCCAAGTTTAAAAATACACGCTCTGTCCCATTTCGAAGAGAGCTAGGAAGCAGTCTCCGGGACGTCCCAAGCGGAAGGGAGGCTCCCGCTCCCTACCCTCCTGCTTTTCTATCCCCCTCCCCAACTAGGCCGGAGTGGTCCATTCCCAAAGAGCGCGCTCCTCTCCCACGCATCTGCGGCTATCTGGGCGGGGGGCATCGGGCAGGGGGAGGTCTCAGGTTCCGCGGGGGATTCTGAATCATCGCGCTCGGAAGCCGAAGCACTGCGTCGCCGGACGGGATCATGGCGAAGGAGGAAGACAAGGGTGAGATGAAGGTCCCCGAGGAGATGTTCAAGGATGTCAAGTTCTTCGTGGTGGGAGACATCGATTCCAAGGTACCCCGGCGGCCGGGGGGGGGGGGGGGGGGACGATTCCGCGGGGGGGGGCGCGCTGTTCCGCCTTGGGGGTTCCTGCTGCGCTCGTGATCTCCCTCCCCCCTAACCCTGTTGGAACAGTATGCGATGACAGCGGATGGCGGGGGGGAGGAAGAGCGGGGGTTGAAGGCGCATGCGCCGGCGCGAGGCTCTTTCCAGAGAGCGGGACAGGAGGGCATTGTAACCGATCGCGCGTGGCGGAGCGCGGGGGAGGGGAGGGGCTGGGAAATCCCCGGCCGCGGCCGTTAACCGTTCGTAGCGCCTGGCGTTGCTGCTGCGCGGGACTGACGTGGCTCCTATTCCGCCGCCTCCTCCTCCTGTCAGTCAGCCCCGCGTTTGCTGCTGTGGAAGCCGGGGAGGCCTCTACTTCGGCCGGGATTGAGTGGGGTCTTGAGGGGCCGGGGAGGCGGGAAAAGCAGGGCGATGGGCAGCTGAGGGCCGGGTGGTCTTCCCGGCGTCGCCGCTGTTTGTCGTCCCCCCGCGCGGGAAGGGCCCCGACTAGGCTTCTGGCGCTCCCCTTCTTCTCGCTTGTCGTTTCCTCCTTTCTGTCGCCATGAATGCGCTTTAATACACTTGCTTCCTCCTCTCCTCCTCCTCCCCAGCTGGGGACAGCGCACGGAGTTTACTTTATTGTCATTGCACCTCGTGCAAAGAAATTAAATGCCATCTTCAGTGTACGTTATGTCTATGAAAATAAACACAAACGCACATCCTTCGCATTCTGTGCAATTGAATTAAAAACCCCTGATAGTGCAATATTAATATTGCACTGTACGGTAGACTTCAATAGAGCTCTTCCAAGGGGATGTTTTAAGACAAAACCTCGGGGGAGGAAAAGGCTCCTTTCCGGTTAGATTTTAGATGGGAGACCACTAGGCGATCACAGGCTGCAGGATAGATTGGGAAGCTGAGAAACATCCCAAAAGCTCATGATGTGTGCCTAAAACGCTTTTCGATTTGTTCGTAATAAGACCAGATGGACTCATCAAATTACTTGCACCAATAGGGAATATGTGTAGCTTAGGGTTAAAAGTGAGGGAGTGCTGTCTGAGTGATTTTCTTGCAGACATTTTGTTACCCATTTTCAAGGAAGCAGTCAAGCTCAATAGAGCACCAAGGACCTCACACTTGCTTTTGTGTTCTGAAACTTTTATTTATTTTTTAACCATTTTAACATTACAAGTGTGGATCTGGTGCACAAAATGATTGCAATTTAATGCTGCAGTAAACTTCATTACAGGATACAGTAACTCTTTTCCTCCTCCCCTGATGAAATATCCTTTTTGAAGTAAACATAGTTGTCTGTGATGTCCAAACTTGGAAAAAAGTCTTTGCTGAAACCAAGATCAAAAATAATAGTTTCCTGAGCTTTGAAACCACAAGGAATTATGAGTAATTTTATACTAAATTTCTTATATAAATGAAATGAAATAAAATGAAATGGGGAATATGTGAGACATTGTTTTTTTTATAATAAAGCACTTTTTTTTGCAGGAACTGAGCAAAAGTAGGAATTTTTCTGACTTTTCATTTCAAGATTTTTGCCTTTCAACATGTAAAATGATGAGTTCCTAGGCAATTTACTTAATGAGAAGTAAAAAGGAATTATGTTCTTTTCCTAAAAGTTTCAACAGATGACCAAATTATCTTATATAATTCTATATGGCATAAGCAGAAGGAAGGAAGTTCTTGGAGAACTAGAAACATTTATAACGTATTTGGTGCACCAAATACATAATTGTTTTTAATGAAATAAATGTAGAATACAAGCATCTTTCATGCAATACTTACATCCAGGGGAAATATGGTAAAAGTAAAACTTATTGTGGAAAGATGGTAAAAGTAAAACTTATTCATTTTTCATTATCTTACATTTTATTTATTGCTGTCTTGGCAAACTATGTGTTTATTATGCTGAGAGAGCAAGAGCTGAATTTTTCAAGGAAGGCTTCAGGTAGCCCAGTTTTAATGAAGTGTGGTATTCATACAGTATGCTTAAATGTATTGGGGGAAAACTAGCCGATCAGCAGTAGGATTGGGGAGTTAAATGTTAGCCCAAAGAGCCCTAGAGGTCTTTCCTTGATCAATCATGTCATGAACTAATGAGAGAGGGTTTTTTATTCTATTTCTGGCAATAAGACCTATAATCCCTCTCCCACAAATTGGAATGATTTCAAGAGCCCTCTTTTACTTCTATTTTAATTCTCTTCCACATGGGATGGAATAGGATAGATCAGTTGCTTCCCTTTATTGCTCACAACTAAAATTTTTAAAAACAAACAAAGCAAAGATCTAGGAATGATAGCCTTTCTCCTAGGGGAACAGCTGATTGAATTAGCCTTGAAACAAATCAGATGTCTTCTATCATTCACTGATGTCCAGCAACAACTTTGTTTGGCTTTATTGAAATTTGTGCCTTCCCTGGGAAAGGGGATAATATTAGCATGAATGTACGTACTGTATATCCTGGAAAATGTGATTTGTTGTACATTTTTCTGAATTTTTCTGAAACTGAAAAGATTAACATTTCATTTTCACATTATATAGGTTATTCAACTTCTGAAAGATGGGAAAGCAAAGGAAGTTTCCTATAATGCTCTAGCTTCACACATCATTTCAGAAGATGGGGATAATCCAGAAGTTGGTGAATCTCGTGAAGTGTTTGATCTTCCAGTAGTAAAAGTAAATATTTAGAGCATTATAACTATTGCTATAATGGATGGGCAGGACAAAAAGGCAATGGATGGAAACTAATCAAAGAGAGAAGCAACTTAGAACTAAGAAGAAATTTCCTGACAGAACAATTAACCAGTGGAACAACTTGCCTCGAGAAGTTGTGAATTCTCCAACACTGGAAGTTTTTAAGAAGAGCTTGGATAACCATTTGTATGAAATGGTATAAGGTTTCCTGCCTGAGCAGGGGGTTGGACTAGAAGACCTCCATGGTCCCTTCCAACTCTGTTATTCTACTCTATTGTTTTAGTACAATTAACATTTTGATACAGAACTTAATGTTTCCAGGTTTGCATGGAAATAAATGCTTTTTGTGTGTGTTGGGAAGGAAGAAAAGGGTCAAGTCAATCACTTTGAGCACTGTGTTGTGTGCATTATGAGCCTACTATTAAACAGCAAGTTAATGCTTCACCTCAAATTCCTGGCACCCCCCAAAAAACACTAAGTTATTGGAATCAGGATTGATAGCCCCAGTTATCTGGCTGGCTAAGGAGGGCGTAGATGTTTGATGATACTTATAAAAGAAATGTCCTTACTGTTCCCTTGTACAGGTTATCATATATTTCAATAATATCAACTCCTTTCAATATTTGGAACCTTAGCAATAAATCAATTTTATTATAATCACAGATTATCATAGTTTGGAATACTAATATGGAGGTAAAAGCCACTAATTGTATACATGTAGAGGACTCCCATTCATTATTTTATATCTCTAGATAGGCTTGGGAGAAATTGTCTGAAAACACACAGCTGTTGCCAATTAACAGATAATACAGAAGTAAACAATCCTTGTGCTTGATAAGATAGCTTAATAGCAATAGCACAGGATAGAATAAGTAGACTTGTGTACTACTTCACAGTGTTTTACAGCTTTCTCTTAAGTGGTTTACAGAGCCAACATATTACCCCCAACAATTAAATATGAATGAATGATAACCAGATCAGTGTGTATGCTTATTGTTATAATTAGAAAATATTCTCAGATATATATTGTAGACACTTACTAGATGATTTTTTAAAACCTATTCTAGCCTTCCTGGGTGACTTTGTCTGTTCAGTGTGGAGCTCTTCTGCCGTATCCTTTCCAGTGAAAATGTTATCAAAATTATATAACGTGATGTTTTTAATATAACTTGCTTCTTAGCTAGGCAAGAAATTGCTTAAAATAATTTCTTAAAAGAAGGTCCTCCTATATTTTAATGCTCTTGCAAGGTCCTGTTGCTTAATTCGAATAATTCTTTTTTCCTTTCTTTGCAAGTTCTTTGAAATTTTTGAGAGAATGTATATTGAAATTATAGTGTCCTATTAATCTGATCCACAGTAAATAAAATGCACATATGTGAAACATAAACTGTTTTGGGATTGTTGTTCCTTATTAATTTTTGTCAAACTTGTCTTATAACATTTGTTTTAAAATTAATTGGTTTTTCTAATCTTGTAGAGATTATAAATTAGGAATTTTCTAAATCATCATTTACAATCTCAAATACATATGCCTCTAATTATTCTATAATTCTGTGTTTTCCAGACTTATCTTTCTATTATATTTTATTTCCTTCTAATATTATTTATATGAATCTTCTTATGCTCACAGTAAAAAAAGGAATGTATTTCTTTCTGAAAAAATCAAATGTTCAATAGCTTTAATAAAAAATTTAATTATTGATTAATTGATTGTATGTGTCACAACATCTGGTCAACGTATATTTGGAAAGGAAACATGGTATTTAGATAGGAGATTTCCAGGAAATAAAGCTATTTGGTAGACAAACCATTTTTGGTAATATTGCCAAGAAAAGTGAGTAATGTGTTCATGAAGTTAACTTCCAAGACTTGTTTCAGGATACCTAATACATATACAGTATTGTTGAAATTGAGCTTTGTTTCCCTTTTGATTTCTTCTATTGGCACTAATTTTGTCCCCAATGATCACTTTTTTCTCCATTTCTCTACAAAGCCATAATCAATGTTTGAAGGAAAATATAATGTTAATTGCATAGTTTAGGATTACCATTTTCTCTCTTTAGATGCAGGTATTATTTTTACATCCTTCAAATTGAATGTTCTGCATAAATACATGTTTATCTATGTTAACAATACAATTCTTAGAACCATTATTTTGTGAGATAGATTGAAGCTGATATTTAAAATAACGGGAAACAAAAGCTGCAAAAGCATATATACTGTGTTTCTCCAAGATCTGGTCTTATATTTTTTGGGCACCAAAATAAGCACTAAAGCTTATTTTTGAGGAAACACGATTTCAGGGTGATTAGCGCATACACAAAAGGCGGCGAGCATTTGGGGGCTGATGTCCAGCAGCAGCTGCAGCCTGCTAGTTCCTTGGTCGACGCACTTTGGGGCTGCACAGCCCATGCAGTGCAGGTAAGTTAATTACTTGTCTAAGCAGTAGATGGCAGGAGGGAAGGCATGTAATCTGGATGTGCCGTGCAGGCTGTGGGAAAGCCAAGAAATGGAGGCCGGCCAGCCAGCCACAGGAGGCTCATCTTTGTGCGGCAGCACTTGCAGACGGAGGCAGAAGCGTACGGGAGAGGCATGTAATCCATACTCACCACGTGGGCTGCAGGCAAGCTGAGAGATGGGATGGAATGGGCAGCTGGTTGCGAGAGGCTCATCTTCACATGTCTTACCTGCGGTCCATGTGGAGCATTGGGATCACCTGCCTTCCCCGCTATGCCTCTAGCTCTGGTGCTACTGTGCAAACGCGAGCCTCCTGTGGTCATCCACATGCTTCAGTCCACCGACTTGGTTTTTCCGCAGCCCGTGCATTGCATCCAGATCACCTGCCTCCCCCCCTCCCACCTTTGCTTCCACTGCCGCTTGGACAGGTAATCAACTCGCCTGTGCTGGGTAGGCTGGAATTGTGTGGCAGTTAATTAATAAAAAGTAAATAAAACAACACTGTCAGCCCTTGCCCCCTCTGGTGCTGGCTACGCACATCCCTTCCCAGGGTGGCTCATTTTGGGGGTATGGGTTATATTGGGTGCACCCTTAAAAATCAGATTAGGGCTTATTTTTTGTGTGGGTCTTGTTTTCGGGGAAACAGGTTTTGTGGGACACTTCCATAAAGCATCCTGTTTGTTCATAAGACAAAATATTCACTCAAATACGTCTGGTGATTTTGTAGCAAAAGGATTGTGATCTCAAATCTACCTCAAATCATTTCTTCTTGATTGCATAATGCTAGATCAGTTTCCTTTCTGCTCTCTTTAGAAAACTTGGTATTCACAAAATGATGCATAGTTTTTTGTGAAGTTTTGGGAAACTTCACAAAACTTCAAAAAATTTGGGAAATTTTTCATTTGTTATCTTAATACATTTTACATTTTATTTATGTTATTTCCTTGACTTAATTTTGTCAGAGTAAATGGCTTTTCCCCAGAATCCTGTCAGATCTTTTTTGGAGTTGCCGCTTGTCTGTCTCAGGTAAAATATTTTGCAAAAAGCAGCTAAATGATACAATATACAATTCAAAATGTTCTTTATTAAAGTACCTTACCTTTTTTGATAGGTTTCCTCTGAAGACCGGAATATATTGTGGGCTTTGATTACATTTTATGGTGGGGATTGCCGTTTGAGCCTCAATAAAAAATGTACTCATTTGATTGTGCCTGAGCCAAAAGGGGTAAGAATTTTAATGCATGTTAATGTTGTTTTAGTAGATGGAATATAGGTCAATATAGTTTGTGTCTTGTAAGTATGTTACCATTTTAAGGAATCAGCAATATGGAAGTACATTAACATGGAAGTCATTTCATACTTTTGATGAAATCAAAAGAAATTTGGCTGAGATGTTCCTAGGCAAAATTGTGTTTTGGGGACTGATAAAGTATTCTGATGAATGATAATGAATTTTAGCTTATATTATTTTCAAATAATTGGTGTCACAGCTAAAAAAGGTGTTACCAATAAAAGGGAATAGGATAGAATATCTCAGGGTTGAACTGTGGGGCCTTTGATGCTCTGAGTTTAGTTGTTTTCTTGCAGACATTTCATTATCCAGCTAGGTAATATCATCAGTGGTAGGAGGTTTAGGGTTTGCTCTCTGTGGAAAAGATAAATGAGGTGAAAACAGTAAGGACTGGAATACCTGCCATTCTCCCATGAGCTGCTCAGAGCATCCAGTAGTGGGAGGTGCTTCAGTCTCTGCTTATCTAGGCTGGGCTTAATTTGCGGAACGCTCCTCCTCCTCCATGGGACTCCTCCCCAGCGTTCCCCAGTTTTGGCTCAGCCTCGTGAGAGATAGGCTGTGCTTCTCATTAATCCTTGGCCGAAACAAAGAAAATATTGGAATGTGCTGAAATGAGTAGATTGACATTTGAAAATAGAGAACAAGAAGATAAACAATTTTATGAAGTTTGGGATCTTTTTTATCAATGGTTAGATAATACAATATAATAATAGAATAGTTAGAAATTTAGGAAATAATGAATATACATTTTTTCTTGGTCTTGATAACACTTTTAGAATATTTTATTAAGATAGACTTGGTATGATTTTATGATTTGTTATAAAATAAAGTAATTAAATTACAGTTATCTCGCTTAAGTATGAATTAGTAAAATTATAGTCAAATGATTGTTTAATAATGATATTAGGATATATAATTGTTGATCGATAATATGAGTTATTATGTAACATAATTATTATGAAATGGATGCACAAAAAGGAGTGGTAAACCAACCGATACACTGTCTGTAAATATATGAAGAATGATGATGTTTTTTATGTTATGTTTTATGTTTTATGTGTTTTTGTTTGTCGTTAAAATCAATAAAAACTTTTATTAAAAAAAAAAAAATCCTTGGCCGAAACAGGAGAATTCTTTTTAAGGTTTGACAGATAGTCATTTGTTCTTTTCTTACCGACGCTGCCCTTGCCATCTGGCCGTTGGGGATCGCATTACCAGGAAGCGCTCCAAAGTGCAGGCAGGCTTCGCGCGCATTTCGCCCCCCCCCCCACCGCTAGCCCTACCCTTGCCATTACGATCGCCGAGCCGCTTTATTATTTAAACAGCGAGGCTTTTTTTCTCTCGTTCCTTTCTGAGTCATATCGCTGTTTCTCCTTTCCCCCAAGAACGCCATTTAGGGGTGGAGGTGTAATCGCCTCGTTATTTCACCCTTCCCTGCCGGTTTAGCCCTAAGGGAAGACTGTTGGAACTTATTTCTTTTTCTTGGCGGGAGATTGCTGCTGGCGCGCGCGTCACAAATAACATCCGGTCGCCATTTTTTTGTTTTTTTACTGTCAAGGGACCGCGTGGCCGCGTTGAGTGCTAATTCAATAGACTGTGTGAGGTAATCCTTATTCCAGATTGAAGGTTTTTTTTCCCACAAAATACCCTGAGGAATCATTACAACCTCGTTTTCAACATATTCGACGTTTTTGTTAATTCGTTTTGTTGGCTCAACCCTCACAGTTCTCCCTATCCAGCAGCACAACAGCAAGCACCTAGGCTAGCGTCCGCCTGTGCAGGGAAGCTGTTGAAGGCCTGTGAGTGATTATTTGGCCTGCTAGGCGTTCTCAATTTGGCTGATTGGGACATCCAAATTTGATATATATTTGTACATATGCTCTGATAATATTAATCACACCAATATAATAATACTGGCAACTTCATAACAATAATAAATGAATTGTTGAGATACGACTCAATTTTGAAGCAGATATCCATATTTAAAAAAAGAAGAAAAAGAAAATACGGGGGATTTGATTTCAGGGCACCCTGTCCATTCTTGGCCAGGTCTCTGGGCGCGCCAACCACCTACACAATATAGCATTAAATAACGAGCGTACTGGTCCTTCCATAATCACAATGGCAGGGGGTAATGGTTCACACTCCTCAACTTCAAGGGACAAGTCCAAATCTCAACACAATCCTAAGCAAAAAAAAGGGACTTCTAAGGCATCAGAAAAGGATGCCAATAGGTGCCACAAGGCTCTGGAAAAACAAATAGATAAGTGCACACGGGAGGCACACAGGACCTCTCAAGCCTTTTCACCACACAGTCCAGAGCCGTCCTCTTTCTTCCCTCCTACCCACCTAGATCTCTCCCTCTCATCCAGGCGCAGCGTGGCTCCCCTGAGTCAACAGGTCCAGTCAGCTCAATCACCAACCATGCGAAGAATACCTGAAGCAACGTTCACACCAACGGCTGCCGGTCTTCGACAGGAACAATGTCTTCCAGAGGATGTGCCAGAGCGAATGAAGACCTGGATGGAGATGGCTATCCGTCAGGGAATCGCAGCAGGCCTGCAACATGCGGTTCTGACCAGGGACCATCCCGCACCCGCTGAGTATGATTCTCAATCGGTTCAGTCATTGGCCAGGTCAGAGCTACACTATACCCAGGTACAGTGTCAAGGGGCTATGCTCCTATAGGAGCCGCAGGAAGAGGAGCAGGAGGAGGAGGAGGAGGAGGAAGAGGTGGAATACATTGAACACATGGACCAGAGTGAATCAGAATCAATGCATGATACTGACCCAGCCATGTCGGAAACAGACCCCTTAGAAAGGGGGATGTCTGAGGATGAGGGCCTCGCTCCCAACCAACCTGTATTTACAGGCTTGTTCCGGCCACAACTTTTCAAATCTCTATTGTTCAAGGCCAAAAATACTGCACAACTGGACAAGCCGGCCCCTTCTACCACTCCAACTCCATCAGACGAGGGACCAGAGGATCTCATTTTCACCCAACCTGTTGTTGAGGCAGACGTGATTCCAGTCCCCCACATGTTTGCAGACCTGGTACAGAAACAGTGGGCTTCTGCAGCAATGTACCCGGCCCCCACTGGTTATGACAGGAAATTCTTTAATTTGGCCCCAGATTTCGTAAAATTGTTGAATACTCCTGAGGTAGATGAACCCATTGTGGGATTAGCGTCCTCGTCCTCCATTCCCAGTGAGGCACTGGAGGCATTAAAGCCGGAGGACAAATGGGCCGAGCTAGCCCTACGCAGGGCCCATCAGTCTGATGCATGGGCCATCAGAGCAGCCACGGCTGCTTCCTTTTTTACCCGTTCTTCCCTCAGATGGCTCCGACTATTACGGGAGCATGTCCTCAATTCCAATACTAGAGCACACCAAGACATTGCAAAACATAGCAGCCGCCGAATTCTCAGCTGACGCAACCTTTCATGCAGTTAAGTTTTCAGTCAGAGCCATCACTTCACATGTCACAGCGCGACGCTTGCTATGGTTAAAGAACTGGCAAGCGGACATTAAACATAAATGCAAGCTCACTTCATCTCTAGCGGGAGACAGACTGTTTGGCCCTTCCCTCGATCCGCTACTCATCGAGACTCGAAATAAAAAAAAATTACCCTCCCTTTTTCGGAGGTCAGATCCTAGAAACCCTCAGTCCTTTCGGAGGGGATCCTTTCGGCCCTTTTATCAGGAACCGTTCTCAACCAGATACCAGAGATCCCCACCTTTCCGACCAGGGCAACAGCCAGAGAGATCAGACTTTGGGGATAGGAACAGAAGGGGTGACCAACCCAAGAAATCCTTCCGAGGAGCGGCAAATAGATTTTTCTGGTGTCCAAGATAACCCCATGGACCCGCCTCCCATTGGCGGCCGCCTTAAATTATTCGCGGACCAATGGGACTCCTCAACGTCTGATTCCTGGGTCAGAGACACGATCAGATTCAGCCTCGCGCTGGAGTTTCAATCCGTTCCCCCAGACTTCTTTATGTCGTGCCCTCTTTCCAGAGATCCGGTTAAACAAGATCTTATGGAAACAGCTATTCAGCACTTACTGGACATATGAGCCATCCAACCAGTAGCTACCGACCAACGAGGGGGAGGTTTCTATTCACATCTTTTTGTTGTTCCCAAAATTTCAGGGGAGTGGAGAGCAATCTTGGATTTGAAACGCCTTAATCAATTTTTAGTATATTGCAAATTTAAAATGCACACCCTACAATCTACCTTACTTGGTATCAGAAAGGGTGATGTCCTTACATCTATAGATCTGATGGAGGTGTACACATTCCCGCCCCTTCCACTGATCCCCAATTTGGCCTTCCCGCTATAAATTTTTAAGATTCTGTTGTAATAATCTCCATTTTGAATATGTGGCTCTTTCCTTCGGACTAGCCTCTGCTCCCAGGACCTTCACAAAGGTTCTTGCAGCCCTCACTGCTCATCTCTGGGGTGTCCCCATACGACTGCAGTGTTACCTCGATGATATCTTAATTCTGTCATCTTCTGTTCATCAATCAGTCAGATACTCAGACCACATTACACTCCCTATAACTACACGGGTTCTCAATCAATTGGGAAAAGAGTCATTTAACACCTTCGACTCGATTAATCCATCTGGGGGCAGTCATCGATACAGCGGAAGGCAAAGTTTTCCTGTCACCAGATAGACAAAACAGCATTCATCAATTAGTTAAGGAGGTCAGGGTTCGCAGGAGGGTGTCCCTAGCTGATTTATCAAAATTGTTAGGCAAGATGATCTCATGTATATCTATTATTCCTTGGGCCCGGCTCCACACTAGATCCCTCCAGTGGTTCCTGCTCCCGTACCAGCGATCCGGCCGAAGCAACTCCAAATACAAAGTCAAAGTTCTATCACAGGTCCTCATATCTCTCCTCTGGTGGACCAGACCAGCCATAAACAAAGGTTGCCTATTCAAAGAGCCCCACAGACTTACCATCACCACCGATGCCAGCCTGATTGGATGGGGAGCTCACTTTCAATCGCTCACAGCCCAAGGCCGCTGGTCCTCCATAGAACAATCGCGCAGCATAAATTGGCTGGAGCTTTGAGCAGTACACCTGGCTCTCCACAACTTCCTTCCACAGGTATGCAACCAACACATATTAATATTGACCGACAACGTAACCGCGAAAGCTCACATAAACGGGGGCACTCAGTTGAAACATCTCATGGGAGAAGCGGAGCATTTGTGTCGTTGGGCAGAGAGTAACCTGATTTCCATCAGAGCAGAACACATTTCAGGACTGTCGAATACACAGGCAGATTGGCTAAGCAGGGCCACGATAGATCCATTGGAGTGGTGCCTCCATCCGACCCTCTTTCAAGTGGCGGTCAGGACATTTGGGCAGCCAGTAGTAGACCTGTTCACTTCCCCCCTCAACGCTCAGCTCCCGAGATTTCTTTCCAGATACCCCTCACAAGGAGCGGATAATTTTAATGCGCTCCGTTGCCGTTGGCCCCTGGGGCTTCTGTATGCATTCCCGCCTCTTCCACTGATCCCCAAGATCATCCAGAAGCTGCTCGACGAGAGGGCGGAACTGCTTCTAGAGCTCCCTACTGTCCGAGACGGTCGTGGTTTGCAGACCTCTGCAGTCTATCTGTATCACCACCATGGAGAATTCCGCCAGACAGGGTCTTGTTAACCCAAGCACCCCTTCAACATCCGGACCCTCAATGGTTGCACCTAACTGTCAGGAGGTTGAGCGGAGTCGTCTGAAGAGCGAAAAGTTTTCCAACAGAGTTATCGCCACTATCCAAGCTGCCAGACGCCCCTCAACAACTCGCATCTACAATGCCACAATTCTACAAATGGTGTACTAAGTCTCAAATTGATCCCATTTCTCCATCTGTGGCGCAGATCCTAGAGTTCTTAAAAGAGGGGCTTGACAAGGGATTATCACCTAATATGTTGAAAAGACAAGTGGCGGCCTTGGCGTCAGTCATTACTTATGAAGGTCTCCTATCCCTTTCCCATCATCCATGCATACAGTGTTTCCTTCAAGGAGCCACAAACTTATGCCCGCCAACGGTTCACCGTTATCCCACTTGGGACCTTAACAAGGTCCTTCTTGCTCTCACTAAGTGCCCTTTCGAGCCCTTGCAATCGTCAGGTCTTCAACTTCTGACATATAAAGTAGTTTTTCTTGTAGCAATCACTTCCGCTCGTCGTATTTCAGAACTGGCAGCCTTGTCGATAAGGCAAGATCTTTGCGTCTTCCATTCTGACAGGGTCGTCCTTCGCCCCGATCCTACGTTCATACCCAAAGTTAATTCAGCCTTTCACAGGGCACAAGAACTGATACTTCCTAATTTTTGTCCCAGGCCATCCCAAGGGCTGGAACGACAGTGGCATCGGCTGGACGTGAGGCGAGTGTTACGAATATATATTCACTGCACAACCTCTTTTAGAAAAACGGAGGCTTTATTTGTGTCTTTTCAGCCCAACAACCAGGGATGCAAGGTCTCATCCTCCACAATAGGCCATTGGCTATGGACCGCAATAGCGAAAACGTATCAGACTCAAGCACTTCAGGTACCCAGGGGCATAACAGTTCATTCAACAAGGAGCGCCGCAACATCGGCATCATGGGCCACGCAGGCACCAATCACTGACATCTGTCGTGCCGCAACCTGGGTCTCTCCATCGCCTTTCATTAGGCATTATAAAATAGATGTGTTTGCATCAGCCGAGGCCTCCTTTGGCAGAAGGGTTCTGCAACGCGTCCACAGGGACCAGGAGGGGATCCCAAGACAGATGGAGTCCCTCCCGTAGGACAGGCCAAGCTTTGGTATGTCCCATTACTGGATGCTCTGAGCTGCAACGAGCATCCAGCCCCACCCTTTTCCGTCTGGTGGGATCCTGTTTCGGCCAACGAATTTTTACAGTGTTAAGGGCGAGGGTGTTTGTTTCTCTCATCTTCGCCAAAACTGGGGAATGCTGGGGAGGAGTCCCGAGGAGGAGGAGGAGGAGGAGGAGGAGCGTTCCGCAAATTAAGCCCAGCCTAGATAAGCAGAGACTGAAGCACCTCCCACTACTGGATGCTCTGAGCAGCTCAAGGAGAACGGGCGTGTCAGGTAAGCACCAACGCCCTTTTTTTAAGGAAGGACTCAATGCTACATAATCTGAATGCCATAGATTTTACCATCCATTTGTTGAATTTTTATTTTATTTACTTTTTATTAATTAACTGCCACACAATTCCATCTAAATTATGTCTCCTACTCTAAAGTAGGAGTAGGGGTAGACTTTGGGTAAAGTACAAACATCTGCATAAATCAAGGTATTTTCCCAGACCATAACTCCCAACCACCCCCATTAAAGTAGCATAAAAAAACATAATTAGCCACCAGTAATAACCAGATTAGCAATTGATTGGCCACTGAAAAATAAGTGTTTTTAACAACCCTTGGCATGTCAGAAGTGAGCAGGCTGGACACAGTTATGATTCAATTTATTCCATAACATTAGGCCCTTGACCAAGGACATCTCTTTTCTGATTTCCTCTCACCTCTTGAGAAGATGAGATTCTAAACCGGTCCTCTCTAGATTACCTCATAGGATGGACAGGAAAGGGGTCCCTGATATACTCTGATGCTGCACCTTGTAGGGTTTGGTACGTAATAACCAGCATTATGAATTTAGCTGAGATACCTATTGGTAGTTGCGCAACTACAGAGTAAGTAAGTAAGTTTCACCTATCAGCAATCTGACATTTGAAACATTTTGAATTCATTCACTTTGCATTTATAATATTTACATTTCAAACATTTTTGTCCTTTCCAGGAAAAATACGAATGTGCTAGTAAACGAGAGAACATTAAAATCGTGACACCTGACTGGATTCTAGATTCTATATCTGATAAAACCAAAAAAGATGAGGTTCCCTATCACCCCCGTTTAATAATATATGAGGAAGAAGAGGAGGAGGAGGAGGAGGAAGAAAATGAAGAACAGGATTCCCAAAATGAAGGGAGTACTGATGAAAAGTTATCAAGTCCACTATCTTCTCAAGAAGGATCTCCTTTGGGCAATCGAACTTTTTCTCCTAAGTCTATTGATGCTGACAAAAACAAAGGAGAACTTATGTTTGACGACTCATCAGATTCCTCTCCTGAAAAGCATGAAAGAAATTTGAACTGGACCACAGCTGAAGTTCCACAGACTGTTGCCAGAAAACACACATTGACTCCAGGCAAGGATTCTGGATTGATTAATTTGTGTGCCAATGTCCCACCTGTCCCAGGCAATATTTTGTCCCCTGATATCAGAAGTAATATAATGGCTTCAGTACAAACACCGCAAAGTTCTGGACATCCTGAAATGATGGCAGCATGGAGTCCTGCAGTCCGGACACTAAGAAATATTACCAATAATGCTGATATTCAGCAGGTTAATAGGCAATCAAATGTAGCACATGTAAGTACTTTTTCAAAGTATACGTTGATAAAACATTACTTGAAAACGAACACTTTCTGTCTTCATTTATATCAGTAGTTGGGACTTCCCTGAAGTGATTGATGCATGCAGAATTGCAAACACACACTTGTCACTTGTCATAATGAAGATTTTGTTGTTGGTTTAAGATTTTCTGTTTGGAATTCTTAGACCACCCTTGATCATCCTCAGTTTTTTGAATACATGAATTGTCTATGAACTTCAGAAATAAAAACAACATTTTGAAGAGAAAAATGTGATTGTTTTGTTAAAATGTAGGATGGTTTCTGAAAGTCAAATAGAATATAAAAACATAATTTAAGATGGCATTTTTCTTTTTTACCCAGTCTTGGATTTTTACATGGTAGTTCTAGGAAGTTCTATTTGCATATCTGTGTTTTGGTGAATTACTTGAAACATTTCTGAAGTCTTGACTGGAAGAAATTACAGCCTAATGAGGGCAGCTCTTTAAGAGCCTTTAAGACTTCAAGTGGAGCTAAGTGCAATTAACCAAGGCATAGTATCAAGAAAGCATTTTTACAGCAGTATTGCATGCCTCACTGGTACAAATGTTGGTTTATCCAAATGTTGGTTTATCCAAATATCTAATAAATTAAGGAAATGTTTATTTCATTATATGTGTGTAGTTGTTTACTAAGATTTTCAGGAAAGTCCCCTTGACGGTAATACCGCTTTGTCAATATTATGAGAGTGATGCACTTTATTCGGGACTATAATGTTGCCCATTCTCAGCTTTCAGAAACATGCCAGAGTGTTTGCTTTCATTTGCTTTTAATGTTCTCTAAGTATATTTAATCCACTTTTCTTGTTTTTGTGTCTTTATAATTTGATTCATTCTGAATAATCTTGGTAGCTTATACCCCGGAGAAGTGTTAGGAAAAGAACAGAACTATAACTATAATAAAGCATCCATGTTGTTTTCTAGATCTTGCAGTCACTTTCAGCACCCACAAAAACTTTGGAGCCACAGGTAAGCCACAGTCAGCAGGGGCATCCCAATGCAGTCTTGCTTAGCCAGGTCAAACTGGCCCCAGAGACACGCTTAGTGCAGCCGCCTCCGGCTCAGCATCACCAGCCTCAGCAGCAGCAGCAGCAGCATCACCATCTCTTGCATCTCCAAGCCCAGCAGCTCCTGCAGTTGCAGCAACAGTCCCAGCCGCCACAGGCTCAGATTCCCCAACCACCTTTCCCACAGCAGCCGCATCAGTTTGCACAACAGCAGCAAGTCCATCAGCACCAGTTTCCGCAGCAGCAGCAGCAGCAGCTGCCCTTCCCTTCCCAACTGATACACTCCCAGCAACAAATGCATCGCCCCCCACAGCCCATGCCGTTTCAGCAGCAGCAATTGCATCGGTTGCAACAGCATCACCTGCAGCGGCAGCAGCAAATGCAGCTTCAGCAACAAAACCTTCAGCAGTTACAGCATCAGCACCAGCAGCAGCAACAACTCCAGCAGCAACAACTCCAACAGCAGCACTTACAACAAATGCAGCAGCAGCAGCAGCAGCAGCAGCAGCAGCAACAACAACAACAACAACAACAAATGCAAAATCAGGCATCACAACACTTGACTCCAACATCTCAGACGCTACACCATCAAGTTCCAATTCAGGCACCACAGAATCTCCAGCAGCAACAACTGCAGCAGCATCAACTGTTTGGACATGACCCATCTACAGAAGGTAGGATAATTAGTTATAATCATCCTGACTTTTGTACAGGATTTCAAGGTGGCGTCCTTAGTGTTTGTTCCTATTTTCCCCCAAAGATCAACCCTGTGAGATAGATCAGTGATTGATCTATTTTCTTCTTACACTTTGAGGCAAAATTGTTTAAAATGAGAAAAAAAATATTTTGGCTGTTAAATTATTGGTCAAGAATAAATCAACTAAAGCAAACTTGATACTGATATATTAGCATGCACAGTATCGGTGATCCAATACTAACAGCTGTCAGCAAGGCAAGCCTTTTCCCATTCAGTGGATTTATGAAAGAAGGAAGTAGAGAAGCAGGACAGTTCTAAAAAGGCTATGCTGTAAGCCATTATATATGAGAAACCAAAGAAATCAAGCATAGCTACTACCCTGAGGAAGTTCTTGCACATAGATAAAATGTTTAAAAAATGTTTTTAGGACTTTTGGACCTCTGTCCAGTTTTTAAGTGTCATCAATTGGATTGACCTAGAAATGGATTTCTGGTTTACCTAACTTCATACTAGAGCACTAGAACAAAGCCAGATTACTCAGTTGCATTATGATTCAAATTGTGATATCTCAAATGTAATGGTTACATTTTGAATGCAGTTAGCACTTGAATCCAATATGTTTTCCTCTATGTCAGCTTTCTTTTAATATGGGGAATGGGGTATATTTGTCAAATCTTGTCCTCTAAAAACATTCCACACGTTTGTATGGATTGCAGCTTTCTTATAGCAGAATCAGACAGGTAGATATGCTTAACCTTTGCCTCATGTGACTCCTTTCTCAACTATCCATTCCCACATTTCCTGTTTCATTCCAAACTAATAGCTATACGGACACAACTGGTTCCCGCTGCTGTCTCCTAACTAGTGGATGACAGATGCAATGTGCAAATCGCAAAGCAGCAGCCTAATTGCTGTTGGAATTTTTGGAACCTTGGAATAATACTGGTCAAAATATAGAGCAAAACAATGTAATTTGTTCTGATTTTGAAACACAATTCTCAATATTGAATTTCTTTCAATCTTGGAATCTGTAAAATGGCTATTTGGGAATTGAAATGCTTTGCACACTCTTAGCCAGAAGGCAACTTGTTGCATTTGAAAGACAAGTAAACACAAGGCATCTGTATCTCAGTATTGATCGGTTTGATTGGTTTGAGAGGAACCAAGTTTTAAATGTACATACCATTGTAGATGATTGCATTAATTATTATTTAAGAGAAAAAATATTTTAGATGAAGTTCAACTGCCTTATTTTTTTCAGTTCCTGAAGATTTTTTTTTACTGGGTTGTATCTTTGCAATTGCTGATTACCCTGAACAGATGTCTGATAAACAACTGTTGGCAACTTGGAAAAGGGTAAATATCAGTTTCATTTGTAAATATTTTTCAAATCAGAATTTCTAAGTACCTTTTTAATGAAAAATCAAATTAACCTATTTTTTAAAATAAATTTGCAGTAGTTTCTTTGTAATAAATGAATTATAATAAAATGTGTAGCCGTATCCAAACTATACCTGTTTTTATCAAAAGATGCCATATTTCACCATTGTTTTAGGGTTTTTTCCTGTTGACTAGGTAGCTTCAAACATTATCTATATATAAAATGTTACACTGACATGTCTTTTAAGTTTTTTTATTTTTTATTTTAGGTAATCCAGTCTCATGGTGGTACAGTTGATCCTACACTTACAAACCGATGTACACATCTTCTTTGTGAAAGTCAGCTTAGTAATATGTATGCACAGGTATGACAGAACACCATATATCATTTCCAGTTAAGGTAAAAGTCTAATAACTCTTTCTAAGTTTTTAAAATATAGTTTGTATAGTCTTTTATCATCAGCAGAGAGTATATCCAATTAAAATATAACTCTGCAAACATCTTAAAGTTTGAACCTTAATATACTGCCCTTTTCTTCCAGAAAGTTTAACTACAGTAGGAAGTTGTTCGTTGGCTCAAAAACAAAACAATAAGGGTCTCATTGGTTCAAGAGAAAAACAAACAAAAATTAAAGTAAACCCAAATTAAATCTAGGGTTTTTTTCCTGCTGCTTGTGTTAATATTTGATGTTTGCCAATGTTAGAAAAAAAATGTGGCTTGAATTACTAGCTAGTCATGTGTGATTACTGTGTAGTCCTCCACCTTGAAATGTGCGGCAGAAAGAACTTTAGGTTGTTTGCTGGTTATTCTAAAACACCCATCTCCCCCAGTCTCCTCCTGCATGTTTCAGGCTTGCAGCTTTATTGGTAACTCTGTTATGCTGGTCAAGAGAGAAGGCTTACATCTGAGGGGAATAAGGCAGGATATATGCCTGCAATTTTTCTAAGCAACATGCTTTTCCACAGTGCATGGGAATCAGTTTGGTCTAGAGTTAAGGTGCCAGGCTAGAAACTAGGAGACCATGAGTTCTAGTCTTATCTGACCCATGAAAGCTGGCTGGGTGACTTTAGGCTAGTCACTGTTTCTCAACCCAGCCACCTCCCAGTATTGTTGTTGTGGGGAAATAGAAGGAGGAAGGTGTGTTGGATATGTTATGCTTTAGTTATTCATAAAAATAATAAAGGTGGGATCCAAGTAAATAAAATAAATCACTTGCAAGCAAATGTGCAGAGTGCAGACTTAAGTATTCTTGAAATAAAGTTGAAAAATGAAAAGCTGTTGACAAAAAAACAAGGAGTGGGTTTCTCTCTGCATTATTTCATAATACAAAACAATAATAATAGAGGTGTTTTTGAAATATATTCATTCAATTTCTGCAGCCCAACACAATAATTCTGAGAAGCTTGCAATTCAAAATATATACAGTTAAAACAAAAACATTTCAAAATTTAAAAAAAACCCAAGTAAAATATTTATCAAAAATAAATAAGTACTGTTTAGCAGCTATTTGGCTAGTTAACAACAAAGTCAGGAAGCTGAGCTCCAACACATTCAGCATCCCAGATCCAGGAACGCAGTCAGATTTTTAGATCCTTATGAAATGCTGGAAAGAGTCTGTAGTCCATGAAAGATAATGTGACATTTCCTTGTATCATGTTTGAGGCAAGTGCCTCCACTTTTCATTTTCAAATGGAATTGAGGATGACCTGATGACCTGAGCTGAAGAAGCTTCTTGATTAAGAAGTGAAATGTCTTCAAAGAAAAACCAGAAAGTCCAGTTGCCTCTTGAAAAAGCACCTTTGGGACATAATAGTGTAATGTTTAAAGTGATGAATTACCTTAATTCATAATTATATGAATTATATGGCAGTTGCTTTTTCTCAAATCAGTTTATCTACTGGTAATTATTATGGAGAAAAGATAGAAGTCATACTGCATAAGTCAAGAGATAAATTTAAGAAGTAAATGCCATACAATATTTGGTGTTACGGACTATAGCACCCGGGGGGGGGGGGAATGCCTTAGAGGGGTGCTAAGAGGCAGGGGGGACGGCGGGGGGGGCTAAGAGGCGGCAGGGGGGCGTTCGAGGCCCTGCAGGGTCACCCCATTGACCGTTGCACCGCTCTGGAGCCGGCGCCTCAAATGCGGCAGCTCCGATGCACCACAGTTTAATGGGCTCCAGGAGGAGGAGGAGGAGGGGATGGGGTAAAGTGCACTAAATTTTGAGTGTGCTGCACAGGTGCTGCAAGAGCAGCAAACAGCCATGGAGCTGGCTGTGGTGGTGCGCACGAGAGGAGAAGGAGAGGGAGAGGGAGGAAGGAAGCCTCCGCCACGGCTTGCGTTCATTCCTCAGCCAACCTGGATTTCCAAAAACTCGCCAAGAAGAAAGAAAAGAAGCTTCTCACACTCTCGGAAACTCCTGCGTGCTCTCCTTGGGGCTCTTCGCTGTCCCCTTTTCTTTCTTCCTTTTGGAAATCCGGGCTAGCTGAGGAACGAGCGGAAGCCGCGGTGGAGGCTTCCCTCCTCCCCTTCCTCCTCCTCTCGTTCTTCAGCCAGCCCAGATTTCCAAAAGGAAGAAAGAAAAGGGGACAGCGAAGAGCCCCAAGG